ATGCGCGATTTACTTCTTTTTGAAAGTTTTCTGGATTCAGTTTTGCATACATTTCTGTTTGGAAGTAACGTTCTGACGGTTTGTATCGAAATAGATTTCATTAGTTAGAACCGGATAACTTTCCTTGCAACTAAAGACTGTTCCAATAACTTGGACCGATTTTAAATGTGAATTAAGTTTAAGCGTCTAATGATTTTCTTTTTCTTTCAGATTTAACAACTTAAGTCTTTGGCAATTTCAACCATGGATAGATTAACAATCAAACATCATGTTAAAGTTACCGAAGCCTGTTATGAAAATGAACGTTCAAACAGAATTTGAACGAGTAGTTCCCAGGTCGCATCACCTCCCGAAACAGCGAAGTCAATTGGCCACCATGATCTTTCGGCTTGACGCCTTTAGATTTCTTCCTGTGGGGTCATCTCAAAAGTAAGGTTTATGCCAACAAGCCAAGAACAATTCAACAGCTGAAGGATGAAATAATAAGGCATATTGGTGAGATCGAGGAGCAGAGTCGTCATCAAAGATTTTGACCATCGAGTGGAGGTGTGCTGCCGAAGCATTGGCGGACATTTGGGCGATGTTACTTTCCCCCCATAATTGCCATGACTTATATAACATGATCCAATAGAGAAATAAATAAATTTTCACGAATAACAGCGATTTATTTACTGCTGTCTTTGATCCGTCTTAATGAAACACCCTTATATATATTAGTTTGTAAGTTAGCGAAACATGTTGAAAATATATTTCACGCTTCATCCTTTTTTTTAAAGTGCAAAAACAACTTTAAATATCAAGATTAGTTTGTAAGTTACTGAAACATTGAAAAGTATAGTTTCATATCGAACTTGCTAGTTTGAAGACAGGTTTTATTAACCGTTCTATTTGACCAACATAAAAACAGCACCTATGGACGCAAATTCGTAGCTTTTTAACTTGGTTAAAATAGTTTCTTATTTTTCCCGGGTGAGTCAATGTTCAGTGTTCGAGCCTAGGTAAAAGTCAACATTGCAAGGGTTGATTTGAAAATCAAAAGAAAGAATATCAAAGCCATTACCGATTGGAAGAATGATGGCAAATAAATTCCCTGCTGTATGTGACTCGCTACAGATGGTACCGGAATAGTCTTGGCACTGAATATCACACCAAACCACCAGAGAAACAATGTGCTCCATCAGGTTAAACTAAAAGATAACCTCTTAGCCACCAAGTACAAATTCGCACATCACAAGATGCCCACGATATATAAACAAGTGGCTGACCCAGCTACCTCTAGGAGTAGAACATATAGTGGCGTAGGGCATAAACAGTTGATTTAGCCACGCCAGGAAGATTAATGAAGAATGATAGTGATGAGGACACACACGGATAATTTTAACAAAACAAGATAAGAAATTTATGCACAAATTTACTGGCTTGAATTAGTGTCAGTAGCTCGTTTCAGGAAAATAAATCAGAGTTCTTGAAGTCCGTAGTTTTAACGTGTTGTCACGAAGAGGAAATTTTCACACAACAGATCTGATACAAATGATCTGATACAAATAAGATTGAAAATGTTTAAGATAAAGGTAAGAGAGTTCGTTGCTCACTGAAGAGATATATTGTCTGAATACGTTCAACAGTAGCCGAAAAATGATAGTTTGAAGTACTTAGCTTTCTTGGATTGTCGACAGAAAATTCTTTGAAGTGCTTCGTGCTGGTTATAGGCCGAAAATATAATTGACGAGTACTTTTACACTGGCGAGTACTTCAACACTGCTCGCGAGGAACTGAAACGAAACCACATTATTTACATTATTCGGACTATTGTCCTCATCTTTGTCGCCATATTTATCACAACGTTGTACGCTCCGGCCTTCTTCAGGTGGTTGGAATTTCGAACTGAACCCTTTATTTCGCTCACTGGAGTACACTGTTCTAGTTCCACGTGCCATGTTTCATGGATATCAGTTATCTCCTGCTAATTTCACCCTGAAAGCTCTCCATTGCCTTAACCAAACAGACTCTGAAACGAAACCTTTCGCATGACTTCAGACACTCTTCTCTGCTTAATTTTTCTCCTCATTTTATATCTTTTCCCCTCGGCTGACCGGCTAATTTCTGTTAAGGCAACGTTTTCACTGGCCACGAAACAATTTCGCATAGACTTGCGAATTCCTTTCCTTCTTTTTCTCAACTCACCGGTCAATTTCTTTGAAGGCAACGTTTTCATTGGTCCAAAGGAAAATTTCACATAGGCTAACGAATTCTTTTCTTTCTTTTCCCCCAGTACTCACAAAATGGATGTCAAGTAGATATTTAGGCATCCAGTCGAATTGGAAAAGACGAGAGTGTCTCTTACTTTCTCTCAAGAAAAATAATCCACGTTCGGGGAAAAATAAAAGTCACACAACCATTCGCTGATATTAACTGACGAAGTTCGGAATTGAATAAAAAGTATTTTCACGTATAAGAGATTTAATCTAGTGTTTTTATCCCCCGTCTGTACAATGATGAAGTTACAATGCTTCCATTCCTTGAATTCTGCCTTATGACTGCCGAAGTCAATAAAATTCTAAGGAAACTGATTAGTCAGGATTCGCTTAACAATTTAGCTACGCCTCACATCGCTGACGGCTAGATGATCAAATTTCAAATATAAATTGTTTCTCTATTTACAATACTACATTTAGAAAAGTAGACTACCCATAAACCTGTTTGATGCTTTTAAAAGCAGTTTATGATGCAAAATGGTGAAGTAAGAATATTATCAATTTTATTATTAATTATGCATATTTCAATTTGTATTTTCAGTACAAGTTATTTTAATAATTACCATTACTCACATTATATAATATCACTTAGGTTAGACGCAATAAGAAATTCATAAGAAAAAGTTGACTTTTAACAATAGAATCGCAAACTGATACCACACTAAAGGCTTTTCCATTCAAGTAATAGTACCCCAAAGTAACAATTTATACCAGTTTTAATATTCAACATTTTCAAATGCCAAGGTCATTAAGAAAACAGCAATCGTCTGCTTAGGGAGATTTTTTTTATATATGAAAATAACAGAAAGTATGGATGCCTCCTTGTTGTGCACCTAGTATCATTTTTTCGACGTATTTTTTTTTTTTTTTTTGAAAAATAATAATTATATTTTTTTATTATACATACTTGTTTCTTTCTCACATTTATTTCAAAAGGTGTAACGGCGGCAAACCAAAATTCATCTATTTATTTATTTATTTATTTAACATCATGTGACACAATTTTCCAGCCATAGAGATTACGTTTTACAATGGCACACCCACATAGCTACTTCACCTATCAAGTACTTGCCAAACATCCGAGATATTTGATTATAAAAAGGTTTTAATGAACTGTAATGAATTGTATAAATATATGCTGTTATGTATATTTAAATTTATTTAGTACTGTTGTTTTAATGTATTATGAATGTTTATTATTTTTTAAATACATAATGGTTGAAATATAATATGCAAGTGTTTGATTATATACGCCGGTTGATATAAGAATGTAAATCGTAAATAAATATTGAATTTTCTATTTAAAATATAGTAAAACAGTAAAATAGTACTAGCACAAAAACTCATTGTCTAATTTTAATGAAATTTAGGAGTGCCCTCAGCAGGGGTTCAACGTACAATATGCATCTAAACTGGTTGGTGTATCGTTTAAGCTGTAATAAAGATGCATACATACAAGATTAGAGTCTTATTATGATATAGATATATTCAGTTTAAATAATGAAAGATTCACAAGAAATAATTGCAAAGAGCCAGTTTATTACCCTTTTAATGTCACCCAAGTTGACATTCCTAATGGGAAATTATCCCTTTCGATACAAATGTCTATTTTTATTTAATTCAAACAATACGTGTCCTCATGCATATTTCAATTCAGTAATAGGACTACAAATATTTCTATAAATTAAAAAAAAATCTTTATAAATGATTCCAATAATTAGCGAGTTATTTCCGAAAACTTCAATAAAATCTTACAATTATTTACATTTATAGGATTTTTAAAATGTCATATAGGAACAAAATAACTACTGACACTGATGTTCGAGTGTGCCACTCTGGACTTATGAATAAGATGTATAAATAGCGATGTCAGGCTACTGACTGGGGTGATTATTGATTGGAACTATCCAGTCGAATTAGTGTGAATTATTGTGCGTCAGTGATTTGGGTTTTAATTTAGTATTTTGCGCAACTAACATTCGCTAAAATAGTTAATTATCTCTGCTTGACTTTTAATTATTTGTTCTTGTTAAGTATTTATTTGAAGTTGTAATTAAATACTGTTTTATCTTAACATTGCAGCCTTGAGTTATATTTAATTATTAACGGCCACCGTACGTCAGAAAAAAATTAACATGTTTTTTCGTGTCTCAAACTTTTATTGTTAAGGATACGGGTTGTCCAGACTGGTTGGGAGGGAATATCTTATTTCAATGTCTTATTTTAAACCCAGTCAAATGTTGTACGTATGGGTATGTGCGTTTGCTTGAGTGTACATTAAATAGCCCACGCACACGTATGACACACATATTCATATATACATTACATACCCACATGAAAAGTCACACACAGAATGTTTGACGGACAAAGAATCAGCACTTCTTTTAAAATACAGGGTGCGGTAGAAGTATTTCTCATACATAACTTCCAGAAATGCTTCTTTATTGTCTAACCATTATGTGGGAGGTATTTCTGCCGCACCCCGTATAAAAAAGAATTAGTTTTAAATGGCAATTTTTAACAATTGGTAATTCTTAAAGATTTTTAAATTTTTTCCTTCCTTGCATAATTTTAGATTTTAAGTAAAGAATTGCAATTTGCGTTGTCTTCTTCCAATCACCTTTAATTTAACGTAAAGTGCGATGTAGACATTTTTGTCTGTGTTGTTTTCGTTGGAGCCAACAGTCGAAACTTTTGATAAACACTGTGCACTCAAATGCCCTGCAACTCGTGTTTAACATCAAAATGGTTTGGCTTCTTCGTTCAGCAAACGTTTACCGCCATAAGTTATAATGAAAAAGGCGGGGAAAAAAGAGACGACTGTATTGGCTACTCTTTCTCATTTCGTTATAGAAAATAAAAAAAAAAATGAAGATACGGTAAAGTTTGTAATCGATTAAATGAAATAGTAATGGCGGTTGATGTTTCGTGAGATATCGACATCACTTGATTTCTTTTACTCACGTCGACAATGACTATGGCGACCAGGCAGTTTGTATGTTAAATCTTATACCGTATCCCAATCGTTCAGTTCGAGCTGGCTATGTTTTTTACGGGTTGCGCGAACAGTTCCGTCAAATGAAGACTGTGAAATGTTAGTTTGACCGAGGCTACGTGGATCGATTAACCTTTTTCCTTTAACATATCTTCGCTTTTCAATTTATTTTACTCGCTCCTACCGATATGAATAAAGACAAAAAAAAAACCTTATCTTAGTGACAATTTTCGTCCTCTGATGGACTTTATCAAGGCAAAATGTAAGGATTTTATTTTGCAACAAGTACTTATAAACAAAAGTAAAAATGTTATTAGTTTTTCAATTTTTTTTTCCATTTAAGAGACACTTCATCAGGTTAACTGAAAAGTATAGATGAATTATGGAGGATGCTAAGTGACGTAATTCATTAAAGTGAGTAAACGATGTTGTTGGATATTTTTTATGCAATTAATATTTAAATTATAAGATAAATTTATGTATTATATATTTTAAATAGCATAAAGATAGGAATTTGACCGCATTCTTTTAATTTTATAAGATTTTTATATTCATGCATACTGGCTTAAGAAAGAAGTATGGCACAAGCCACCGGCAGAGTGAGATTCATTTTTTATTGTCTTAGTAATTTTTTTAAAAAGTTGAAGCACTTGTCAGCAGGGAAATTGGTATAAAGGGACCTAACATCCAAACTAGCAATGAGTTTATCTGTCACACTTATTTCCCTTAGTTTTTCAAGAAGGATCCCTGAAATTTTAACATTTAATGGGCAGGTTATTGTAAGGAGAGGTGTTAAAAATGTTGTTATAGATTTCGTCAGTTTCATACTTGATATAATGGAGCACATTGGAATGCTTGCTTTGTGGGGTTTAAGCATGCTATAAAATCTGGCTATATTCACATGGTATTTCCTATAGTAATACTTTCATTGTTTTGGTATATGAAAATTTATATATCATCTTCTCCTACATATATATATATATATATATATATATATATATATATAGAGAGAGAGAGAGAGAGAGAGAAGGAGAAGATGATATATAAATTATATATATATATATATATATATATATATATATATATATATATATATATATATATATGATAAAATGACCATAGGAAAACTAGTAATTGTTGACGCGTTTCGTCCAATGTGGACTTTATCAAAGCAAAATACGAAAAAAGTCCACATTGGACGAAACGCGTCAGCAATTACCAGTTTTCTTATTGTCATTTTTATTCATAAATATTATCTTCTCTACTGGTTAAATCGGAGAAATGTTCATATATATATATATATATATATATATATATATATATATATATATATATATATATATATATAGAGAGAGAGAGAGAGAGAGATAGATAGATAGATAGATAGATAGATAGATACCGGGTGAAAATGAAGTTTGTTTTTCAGAATAGCAGATCTATCATCATAATTCGACACTGAAAAAGATCTCTATATTATTCATTTTACTATCGTTCGTTTTCTGGAATAGCAGATCTGCCCTCAAAATTTGTAATGAAAAAAGATGCTCAGATTATTCATATGAGAAACAAACAGTCAAAGTGCGTATCTGTTTGGAGGAGCAAGTTTTCTTTATTGATGTGAGAGTTAGCGGACTTCATTATGGAGGGCGTTAACCCCAAAACCAACTCCTTTCATGCCCAATCAGGAATGTTTCAATTTGAATGATTAACATCTTGAACGAAAAGGCATCACAACATTGTTGATTTTCCACTCCAACAGATTTTCATGTCTTAGTAATGATCGATTCTCATTTGTCTTTCTTTTCTTTTTTTCGAGGGCGTTACATTATGACAGATTAATCATGAGCAAATTCTGAACCCTCCTTCTGTAAGAGGCCCAGATAAAAGATCACATTTTTTAGGGTCTGTTCTCACTGTTTGTTTTCTTTTATTCCATTTGCATTAGTTTTTGTTAGTCTTTACATGAATTTGGCCGGTGCGTGTGTTTTGTGTGTAAATGACAAACTTTAGAGAACAGGTACACTGTGTGTTGCCAGCAATTCTACATATGTCAAATGAATCTGATGACTGCAATGAATATATTTCGAATCAATGCTTCGTGGAATGAATGAGAGCGAATGAACGGTTCTTATTATGCTGCTCACGAATTAGAAATAATAAATTGAAATCAAATAGGACAATAAATGATACGGTTGTTCGTCAGGCGTTGGTCGATTAGTTTAGCGATCGCCATAGCTGCTCCCTTTCCTGGCAAAAAAAAAAAAAAAAACTAAAAGAAAAATATCGTACGACAAAAAAACAAAATGGTGACAGCTTTTTTTTTTTTTTTCTTCTTCTGACCTTTTCAGCCAAAGCCAGTTGGACGGAGCGTGTCTTCTTCAGACTCCGTCTCTATCGGTCATGTCAACGGACATAAACCCAAGGGAACAGTCAAGAAGAGCCTTCCGCCGTCAGTCGCGTCTGGCCTCTGTCGATCGCCCTGCACACGCGTCTGCGCACATGACTATTGCTGGCCGGCGACACGCTCACATTTTCGTGGGAGGGAGATCACGTGACCACGCAATCAAAAGGTGACCTTCCACATCCGTCAGTTTTGCATTTTACCGGGTAAATACGATGTTCGTTTTGTCCTCGTCTTTTCTGTCCGATTTTGTCGAAAGCAATGCCAGTTCCAGTGGTCAAGTAGATAATAACAGACTCTGAGTAACTAGTCCAGTCGGGTCCAATTAACACATGACTGTAAATGGGAAATTACTGACCTCGATCACTCCTTGGAGAGTAAACACTGTTGAATTATACAAGATATACCTCTTTAGAAGATGGACGAAGCTGACGTCCCCTACTCAATTCATATATTTCTGTTTCGTTCAAAAAAATAAGGTGCGTTTATAGTAAATACTAGATTATCCAGTTTCCATTCATAACATGGTCGATCATGGCTCTCCACATCATCCTATACTGTACAACTTCCCTGTGCTTTTTCTATAACTATTTTCATGGTAATTGTTCTGATGAGCTTTCCTCTTTGGTACTTTGAGTTAATAATTTTAAACGCAGTACAAGTTACGTTTCATTTTACTGTTGAAATTGCTAAAGGTAAGCGTAACTTCTATGCTAACAGTACCTTCTCTCGCACTTCTCACTTGTGGAACCGTATTTCGGCTTCTTGCTTCCCTGTCTTCTACGATCTTGAAAAAATTAAATGCAACTTCAATCGTAACATTATGTCTCCTTAAATCATGTTCTTTTTTATCGCCATCCCTCCTCAATAACATTTTCTCAGTTTCTTCCACTCTTGGTAAACCTCATGCATCTTAGTGGCTTTATCGCCATGATTGATATGAAATGATTACAACAAAAAAAAAAAACCGCTAAGTAACTTTTGACTCTTTTTCCATCTATCCTTACACTAACTTCGCCTTCCTTTAATATATCCTGTGAGTGTTAAACTTTCCAAACTGTCCTCCTTCTTGACACTTCAACTGTCTCTTTCTGGTTTTAATTTTGTATGTGAAAGGAGGATAGCGGCTCGGATTGAGGACTCGGAGAGCCGAGTTCGAATTCCAGTTGAATCCATTACATTCACTTACGTGCTAATACCCTTGGGAAAAGTATGAATCTTATTCTTCTCCCTCAAGCTATGGGTAAGTAGCAGGACAGATCGGGTTCTCTAGTCTTAGATGGCAACTGCTCTACAGCAGAAAAAAAATCTGCCTCGTCAGTCATGTATGGAAAGATACATGATCGACTAAGCGTGTATCACGCATAGAACATAAATCATTGACTGATGTGATTCTAGTTCTCGTTTTCTTCAGAACTTCTTCATTGCTCACGTTTTCTCTCAATGGTAGTCTCTACTTGTGGCTCTAGAAACACATTTCTATAGCTTCGATTCTAGAACGCAGCAGATCTAAGAGAAAAGCTGGAAAAATAGATGTTCTGGAAAAAAAAAGAAGCAAAACAAATAAAATAATAAGCAAATTTGTTGGAAAGAACAACCCATAGTTGTATTTCAGAGTCGACTGGATTTGAACCCGGTAAGGAGGGATAAAGAAAAACAGCGCGTAACATACTTGATGGGCTTTAGTAAATGCACAGTAGAAAAGGCTTTGGGAGAAATAACAAAAAGACAAAACTTCTTAAGAGGTATAAGAGACAGGAAGAAGTGGAGAGCCATGATCGCCTATGTCCTGAAGGGATACGACACATAAAAGAAGAAGATATGCAAGCAAAGTTTTCGGCTTCACTTAAAACTCTCCACTGTGTTGGCGTCTATACTTCTCTTTCTTCATATACACCTCGTCATTTTCTCTACCAAGAAACTCGATATTTCTGAGTGCTGCGGAGAAATTCCTAATTAAACAGTGATTTTATTTAAATTTTGACTCAAAATTGTTTGGTCAAGTATCGTTACTTTATCTGTAGGTTCCCAGCCAGATTATAAATGGTCAAAAATTAATTAATCTATATAAAAATAATTAATCTATATAATGCTAAAAGTCTGTGATGACGTGCGTGCTTGCATGTTTGCGTGGTGCATCCGTCCGACGCATAATGATTTAAGTTAATCTGATTTAAGTGAATAAAATTTAAAAATACGAATTGTTTATAGGGTAAGTATTTTTATTGTAACGTTCTTCAAACATACAGTTTTTTATTAAAATATTGTAAAGTTAAAGACAGACACAAATAGATCCCTCTTTGCTGTTTCGTTCAGTTGATTTTAGAGTAATTATTTATATTTCAACTTTTTTAAAACAGACAGAATTTTATTAAAATATTTTAAAGTTAAAGACAGACACAAAGAGATCCTGCTTTGCCGTTTCGTCCAAATGATTATAGAGTAATTATATATATTTCTACTTTTTTTAAACAAACAATATTTTAAATGTTTAAAAAATATTTTAACTTAATCTGATTTTAAAATATTTTAAGTGGATACGATTTAAAAATACGAGTTTTTTTATGCAGTAAGTATTTTTTTAATTTAACTTTCTTCAAACAGGCAATTTCTTAATTAAAACATTTTTAAGTTAAAGACAGACACAAAGAGATCCCACTTTGCCGTTTCGTCCTGTCGTTTGTAGAATAATTATTTATATTTCAGCTTTCTTTAAACAAACAATATTTTAAATATTTAAAAAATATTTTTTGGCGTATTTAAAAAATATTTTCAAATGAATATGATTTTAAAATATTTTTTGGCATATTAAAAAATATTTTTAAGTTAATCTGATTTAAAGTCCAAGTTTATCCCGGAAGTTTTATTGCTATTAAATGCTGTAAACAATTAGTAAAATGCTAAAACTGAACTTGTAAACCAGATCAATGATGATACGAACAAATTGAAATATTTAACTGAATCGTAATAAAATTAACTTTCATTTCAATGGAACGTTGAAATCAACTTCAATGTTTTATATCCTAAACCGTCAGTAACCCAACGGGTCATGGGTTGTCTGGTAATATGTATAAAAATAATTCTGTCGGTATAGGGAAAAACTAACCGATTGTCAAAGTTGGGGGAAATTAACACTGATTGAATACGTCGTCAAATGTCCTGCTTTTCTTATAAAAGCGCATTTACATAACCTCGTTTGTTACTCCATCACTCAAAAACATAGCGTTAGTTCTGCTCCTCTCCTCACAGAATAAATGCCGTAGGAAACATATGATCACCCGACATTGTATTTCGTAATTCTTGTTCTAAAATAGCCTATAGTAAATTTCGATATTTGATCTGTGGTACTTGCATTGGAAAACCATAAAGAAATGGATTGTTTGTGGGTAGGAATTAATATAAGTATTCAGTCAGTTAAAAATCCACACGTGGCACACACTTGTTACATCATGTATTTCGATTTATAACTGACTAGGCAAAGTTTTTTTTTTTTCCCGCAATAGCTTGTCGTTTATTTCTACGGTAGACTGAATGCCAACCAAGGCTATAGGACACCGTTTGTTTTGCTATTTAACCCATAGCTGGAGGGAAAAGATATGGTTTCATTCCTTTCCCAATAGTATTTGCGCGTAAGTTAATGTAACGTACCCGATTGGAATTTGAATTAGAATGTAAGTATTACTGACATTTTAAGGTTATTGTATATACTAGCATCACCCGTGAAAATTTGTTTGTGTTTTGAATTTTTCGGAGGAGTCATAACTTTTCATTGATTAAATATTTTCCTTGCGATATCCACGACTATAATATACCCTTGAAAAAATCTAGTATTGTATCGTTAAATACAGGATGTTTCAAACAATTTGAAATCATTTGATATCTGAGTGACTGCATAGTGTAGGTAAATGAATCTAAACAGGTTTATTGGTGAGCAAAATAAGATTTATTCATCAATATATGAATGAGAAATTCAAATGTTCATGGATTTCATGAACAATTTCATAGGTTTTTAAAATGAATATGCTCAACTGTGGCACGAGTATATTGTTCACCCCAAATGCCAATGCCAACATTATAGTTGTTGACTTTGCCATTAGTATGAAATGTACGTGGATTTCATGAACGATTTCATAGGTTTTCAAAATGAATATGCTCAACTGTGGCATGACTATATTGTTCAGCCCAAATGACAACATTATAGATGTTGACTTTGCCATTCGTATGAAATGTGGCCTTGCCACTGAAAACAACCCATCTTTTTCAAGTTCTATTTAATATCGACAAAGAATTGCTGGCGCTTTTACATGGCATTTGTCTTTAAGGCCTGAACGAGTTGCAGCTTCGCGGGATGTCATTCACAAGCGTTTCTTTGCGACACGCCCAACTTTCGTTGGAGGAATCTGTGTTTCCAGACTTGCTCTTATTATGGGCTTCCTGGGTTTTCGCCAAAATGTTTCCCGAACCCACTTAACCGTCTCTTCGGATACTGGTGGTCGCGTCCAGATCCTTTTGCCCTGCACAGACAGTCTTCCATTTTGTGCCATGTCCAGATCTGCATTGCAGTTGGTGCATTTTTAGCGAATTCTATCACAAATGCACGCTGCACGGTTTCGGTCGACTTTTTTCGAGCATAATCGAACACACAAATTTTTTTTTTCTTCTTTTCCACTTAATGGCATTTCTATACCTGAAAAGAAAAACCATAAAACATCAAACATGATGATTTGTTTCTAAAAATGCTGTTAAAATTTGACATCATTTGAACAAGAATTATTAGATTCCGAAATATCATTTTTTTTCTAAAACACCCTGTATTTTAGCTTAAATTTAAAAATGGAAACAATTGGGGTTTTTTATGAGTTTATTTCAATTCTCTGGTATCAGTGATACCCTGGACCGAGATTCTGCGTTGGATCAAGAATTCAACTCTTGTTCTTTGCTTCTCAAACCACAGATGTTTCATGTTCCAACATTTTCCTTATTCCTAGCTTGTTGTCCGTTTTCCTCGCCGGCTCGTTTTCCGTCTTGGATCAGTCCGTTTGCATCTCCTTTTGGTTCCTTGAGCAATTTTTTTTTATCCACTGTCGGCCTGCTAAACCAGTCATAGCTTCACCAATGCCCCGTTGGACTGCATTACCTGTTTCCACCTCCCATGACGCGGACGAGAGGTTGGGCTTTGGGAAGACAACTCAACTCAAGCTGCGAGAAATACATGATGATCTCTCTCAGTAAGGTCATGACCGTCAGAAAGAGACCAGAAAAACTGGAAATTAACATTCAATGGGACCCAGCTAAAACAAACCATTGAATTCAAATACCTGGGTAGCATATTTATTGAAAAGGGCAAACTAGACAGTGAGATCGAGACCAGATGTCAGAAAGCCGACGCAATCAGTTACCAGCTTGCTCCTCTTCTAAAACATCCTATCATTTCCATGAGAACCAAGACAAATTTCATTAACGCCATTTTTCTACCAACGCTGAAATACAAGTTCCAGACATGGACCCTAACAAAAACCCTTGAGAGGAAACTGATCACGTAAGATGAAATGCTTGAGGAAAGCATTGAACAAGACCAAGCGAGACAAGACCAGGAATGAGGTAGTAAGAGATATGGTAGGAGCAATACCAATCATACAACACATCGAACGACATAGGATCAAGTGGTTCGGACACCTCACTCGTATGCCTATCAATCAACCAGCCCTACGAGAATACACCCTCAGGTACTCTGTCTGGAATGCGAGAGGCAGACCAAGAAAACGCTGGAGCGATTCGGTGGCAGACATTCTCAGAGCCCTCGTGGTATCTCTCTTCCAGGGGACTCGCCTCGTCGCTGTCAGACGACTGTGTCTTCCCGCGATGCATAACATCACAAGCGGAAGGAAAAACTAAGCTAAATATCTCAATTCTCTTCGTATCCTGACGACCGCCTAAAGTATATTTCATTAATGAAGGACAATTATCAATGAAACTTGAATAATACTGAATATCTTCTTCTTCTTCTTCTTCTTCTCCTTCTTCTTCTTCTCCTCCTCCTTCTTCTTCTTCTTCTTCTTCTTCTTCTTCTTCTTCTTCTTCTTCTTCTTCCATGTTCCGTATCTGTTCAGTAAGTGAAAGATCATATCTCTTCACAATTTCTTATCCTTTCTTTGTCTTTTTGCTATCTTCTTAAGCCCAGTTCTGCTAATCATTTACAAAAGATCCTTAAATAGGTTATACTTTGTTTTCTCTCTTGTCTTCAATATGTCCTGTGAGTATCAATTTTTCTAAGCCTGCTTTCCTCATTATGTGCCCTAGAAATTACAACTGTCTCTTTCTGGTGACCTTTGTATTTCCACTTTCCTTAAAACTTCGTTGTTGCACACCTATTCAGTGCATGGTTTCTTCGGCATCCTTCTGTCGAAACACATTTCTAATTAACTCACGTATCCCTGCCTGCGATGTAATTGTCCGGCATTCACTGCCATGTAGAAAGGACATTTTTATCTAGCAGTTCAGTACTCTTTTCTTTTTTTCTTACGAAACTTTCCTATTTCTTAATTGTTTTTTTTTTATTATATTGTAGTGTATTGTAAATGATTTTAACAAGCATAATGTACAGAAAATGAGGGAGAAATTATTGTCAAGTAAGAAAACAAACGGTAGGGAGGGGTTATTAAACATATAACATAAATGTACTGCTAATGATTTTTCACAAAATAAACTGAATTTTGAGACACACGTAACTTGTAAACCATTGATCCAAAAGTCAGGCAGTTATCTGTCATGCCTGATACACGCTAAGGCGATCATGTATCTGTCGATACGTGACTGACGGGGAAGATTTTTTCCCCGCAGTAGATTGCCATTTCTTTCTGCATTAGACCAGTTGCCATCCAAGGCTATAGAATCCTGTCTGTCTTGCTATTTACCGATAGCTGGGGGGAGAAGAAGAGGATTCATAACTTTCGCAAGGGTATTAGCACGTAAGTGAATATAATGGAGTCGAGTGGAATTCGAACTCGGCTCTCCGATTCCTCAATCCGAGCCGCTATCCATTACTCCACCGTGCCTCCAAAAATACATGTCGTTTATTATTTCCGTTATTAATAAAAAAAATCGTCGAAATAAAAATGTGATCTGCATTTCTAATTTAAAGTTGTGTAACTTATCTCTCAACCAATTGAAAGCAGACATTTTTTTTTCATCATTTTTCCACAAATCCTGATCGTTTAATGTAGGTACCACCACGAGATCGCTAAAAAAAGAGCATAGCATGATGAAAAAGACGCCAAACTTGACGAAAACAAAATTTTATCGTCTAAATGTGTGTTATTATTAAGAGGAAAGGTCAAAGTAATTTTGGGGTATTTTTTTCCATTTTTTAATCGTTCCTAGCACGTCCGAAATTTTCGTTAAAAATCTAGTTTTTTTTGAGTCAGCAAAATTGATCATTTTTTTCCATTTTAAAAAAAAACTGGAAATCTGACTTTGAAATTTTTTTAAAATATCAATTATCATTTTTTGAAAACTTATTTTAAGAAAATCAGAAATTATAATGTTTATTTAAAATATTTTGAACCAAACTTAACTTAGCTTTTGTGCCAAAAAGATGTAATTTGAAAATAAAACAAAGCAGGTCATAAACTTTCGCGTCTCTTGACATGTGATGAATGATATATTTACGAATTCCAAGAGGCTAATTTGTCCTACGGAAGGAGAAAAGTGAAATAATTTACATTTACGTGAACAAATTATTTACCCCGTTATTTTTAACGAAAACTTTCAGCGGTCTAATTTTTTTTTTTGTACTTAGCTTTCACCTTTACGTTTATGATGCATTATGGGAAATATATTGTAAAGAAATTAAAATAAAACTGTTAAGAGTGGCATTAAATTTCATATTTCTTAAGAAAGGTATCTAATTAATTTATAGGTACCTTTCTTATGAAATTTTATCAGAATTATACATAAAATACTATAATTTTATGTACATTTATTACATTCTACTGTTATTTGTATTTGCATTCATTTTATTAATTTTGATATTTCATTTATGGAAAAATGTCGTAACTGAGATTAATATAGAAATAAGATCATATAAATTTCATAAGATGATACTGATACTTGTAGGTACCCTTCTCAGTTGAAATTGAAAAATCAAATTAACTTCTCCACACGTGTTTCGCAAAAGTAAAGGCCTTAACAGCGGAGAACAATGCTTAACTCAAATAACGCAACATAATTATATTCTGGTTGGTCTTCCGTATTTTATAATTACAGCTCGATTATAAGCACAAAATTACATTTCTTAATTACTGGGGATCTTCTGATTAGTCAAAATGATACAATTTACAACGCGCTAAAAAAGATCTCATAAGGACACTTATGAAAGCCGATGCGGCTTTTAACTAATTTTATAATATTTTAACAACTTAAATGTAAAATCTATTATAATTAATGAAATAACAAATAATTGTATTAAAAATTCATTTTTCATCGAAAAATTTTTTTGCTTTCAGAAAATATTGTCCATATTCATAAAAACAACTAAAAGCAAATAAAATCATTTGAAATTAAATAATATCTTTGTTTTATTGAGTTTTGTATGTTACAATTCAGCGCTGATTTTCAGGTACTGCGTATCCAATTAAAAAAAAAAAAACAAACCTGATTTGCATTCCTCAAAGCCCTGTGCTTTTAATTATTGTAATCACTAAAACCGATGCGAACGAATTTCTAGCGTTTTTATAAAATTAGTTATGGGGGGGTAATAAATATTTTTTAAAAATATTTCTACCATGACTTTCATAAAAAAAACATATTTATAATAATTTCGATCATCTGTGAATAGTTCCTGAAAGTTTCATTAACATCCGATAATTATTTCTATTTTTGCACGATTTTTCAAATTAATGTGTGTCATACCAAAAAAACGTGCTAAAAATTGTCTGTTATTTACTAGTTCTGCTGATACAAATAGAAACAAGGTTTTTTTTAATCAAAATTTAGAATTTTCTAAAAAGAAGGAAAATTTTTTAAAAATAATTAAAAAAAAAACTTTGGTCTTTCCTCTTAATAATAACATAAGCATTTAGACAATAAAATTTTGTTTTCGGCAAGGTTGGCGTTTTTTTCATCAAGCTATGCTCTTTTTTTAGCGATTTCGTGGAGGTACCTATATACGTTTCTTTTTGTACATGACAATTGAGGGGCAGTGTGCAAAATAATGATGACCCACCCGGGACCGTGCTAATTTGGTCCCTTTGACGCGTACTAATATCGCTGTCGCTATCGAAGATGGTTCGTATATATAATACGCCACATATATCTTCAAGAACGCTTTGTTCATTTTTAGAAATTCATTTTAAACTTTACAAATTGTAATAAAAAAAAAAAAGAGTGGGAACAAAAAATAGATTAAAAAAGAAAAAAAATATCTGCTGATACGTCGCTCTTAGTAGGACGAGAATTACAGATGGAATCTACGAACTGTCAAGCATTATTTTGACTTTCCAAAGTTTACATAAAAAATATTGTGCTTTGGGAACTTTTGTAGTAAACAACTTTCACTGTAAATATGTAAAATTTATGAGGATAATATACGGATATCTTTCCTTAGGCGTTTTAAATTTTACATTGTTCAATTATTAACGTTAACAACTAACTACAGTGTAACCCGGATATAAGAGACCCGGATATAAGAGAAACCCGGATATAAGAGAGATTTTCTCTGGTCCCAAATTAGAGCCTGTGTTAATGTATATATAATAGACCAAACCCGGATATAAGAGACTTCTTATCCGGTCCCGACAACTCTCTTATATCCGGGTTACACTGTACTTGGATTAACAAACAGATCGCGACAGCTATTAAGGAGATATGACGTTTAAAAACATTAGTCAGTATTATTATTGTTTAGGTAATAAGCATTATAACATAGCACAAATAGCTATATTGTGGGAAAAGGAATTTTCGACAATATACGCATTTTTTACGTATTTATGGTTATTTTTTAACTTTTATCAAAAACTACATTCGTGTACATGTAGTCATGGATAATATTATACATTAACTACAAATATTTTTAATTAATAACTATTCGGGCTCAGTTGTTGTCATTAATAGCTATCTGCTGATGTGTTAAATTTTTGGAATAATGCAATAATAATAGCCCTGATAGATATCGCGATCTGTAAACGAAAATTACTTGTAATACATTCCTTCTTGCCGTCAATTTTAACGGCACGGATGCACTATTTTTAAAATATTTCACAATATGTTATCATTTAATAATACAGTAATTTTAACATGATATTTCAGTTTTTAATGTTTCGCTTTTATTAAATTTTTTAAATATTTAAAAATAAAATGGAATTCGAGAGAAAGCAAAGTACAACATTAAATGAGGAAAGATAAGATTGATATGTGAAGAATTTAAAAATAATCTATTATTTTTGACGTCATGAGTCAGCCAGTTTCAATGCTGAATATAATGAAATATATAGATTAATATAGAATGGTGATAAAATAACATTTACAGTGTAACCCGGATATAAGAGAAACCCGGATATAAGAGAGATTTCCTCTGGTCCCAAATTTTAGCCCATGCTTACCTAAACAAAATAGACCAAACCCGGATATAAGAGACTTCGTCTCCGGTCCCGACAACTCTCTTATATCCAGGTTACATGATTCATAAAGCAATAATTGTTAAATAGTTCTTTGTGTTGTGATGTTGCTCAAAGAAAAGTTTTTTTTTATAATTTTATAATCTCTCTATACGTCGTAATTTATTTTAATAATTGTTGAATATAATGATCGATTCGTGAATCTGGTGGAGTTCAATCCCAGATCCGGGTAGTACAGATTTCGAATCAGTGGAAAAAGGCAGAGCAGTAACTGATTGGTAGATGGATTTGTTTGTTTAACGTCGTATCAACTCCTTATGGGTCATTTAATGCTGAAATGTAATTTTCTTGTGAGCTTTGAAGTAAGAAAAATATGATATAAGTTATTCTGCTTTCACAATTGAATACATGGTAGATAATACTCAGCTTTTGTGCATATACATGTTTGTGTGGACAATTACTCGTAGCAGTGATATGTGTATTTTATGTTGCAGTTATATTTTGAAATATAGTTTGATTTGTTTAAGAAGTTGTAGGATATTATTCGGATTAATGTCATAAAAGAGTTCTTTCATGTAAGTCGTTTGGTAATATTTTAAGCAAATTTGGATGAAGTTGCTATAAAAATGTATTTGTTCGTTCATTGAATATTGTTACCATATCTGGTCTAGTGCTCCTGCTGTACATCTCGAGATTCTTGACAAAATCCAAAGAAGAATCTGTAATGCCATCGATCCTGGCCAGGGATCGCGACCTGTCACTTTATCACCGACGTTATGTGGCTTCTGTTCCACAAATATTTTCATAGCAACTGCTCTGATAAGCTTTTTTTCCCCCTGGTGCCTTGACTACAAGAATTTAAGCGGGCTACTAGATTGGCAACTAGGTCTCAGCGTTTTACTGTCGAACTAGCTAGATGCAACCGCCATTTTCTACTCAGTTTCTTTTCTCGCACCTCCCGCTTGTGGAAATCTTTTCTGATCCCTCGATAACAGCAATCTTCAAATATTTAAGTGTAACGCCATTCGCTATCTTTCGTCTTCTTCAATCCTGTTCGTTTTTTATCCTTTCACCTATTCTGGATTGTCTGAAGTTATTATGCAGATTGAACTAATATTAGCTTAAGACCTCTAAAATCTAATAAATTGTTTTTTTTCTTTTTGTCCATAAAATATGTTGAAACCTGGGTAAAGGGAAAAATGTAAAAACTGGTGAAAAACAGAAAATAACAAAGTTAGTGAGTGAGGGAATGTCCACATTGGAGATATCAATGGAGCTTTGCAGAGATCATCGAATAATAAAGAAGGCTGTTGAAAATATAAGCTGAGAACTCGGATCAAATGAAAAGTCTTTAAGAACTTGCTTCCTCGAGATGAACTTAAACTAAAGCGAACAAACACTCCTTGTATAAACCGCGTTTTCTCGTGGGTTTGCTTGGTGGGTGAAATGATTAAAATTATTTCCTGTATGGAGATGGTTGTTTTCACTATTACCAACTCTTTTCTCTGAATATTCTCTCTCTCTCTCTCCCTTTCTTACTCTCCTCTGTCTTTCCATTCTCCCTCTCTCTCTCTCTCTCTCTCTCTCTCTCTCTCTATCCCTTTCTCACTCTCCTCTGTCTTTCCATTCTCTCTCTCTCTCTATCCCTTTCTCACTCTCCTCCCTCTCTCCCCCTCTCTCTCTCTCTATCCCTTTCTCACACTCCTCTCACTCTCCCACTCTCTCTATATATACTTCTCACTCTCCTCTCTCTCTCTATTCCTTTCTCACTCTCCTCTGTCTTTCCATTCTCCCTCTCTCTCTCTTTCTCTCTCTCTCTCTATCCCTTTCTCCCTCTCCTCTGTCTTTCCATTCTCCCTCTCTCTCTCTTTCTCTCTCTCTCTCTATCCCTTTCTCCCTCTCCTCTGTCTTTCCATTCTCCCTCTCTCTCTCTATCCCTTTCTCACTCTCCTCTGTCTTTCCATTCTCCCTCTCTCTCTCTCTCTCTATCCCTTTCTCCATCTCCTCTGTCTTTCCATTCTCCCCCCCTCTCTCTCTATCTCTTTCTCACTCTCCTCTGTCTTTCCATTCTCCCTGCTTCTCTCTACCTCTCTCTCTCCATCTCTCTCTCCCTCTCTCTCTCTATACCTTTCTCACTCTCCTCTGTCTTTCCATTCTACCTCTCTCTCCATCTCTCCCTCTCTCTCTCTCTTTATCCCTTTCTCACTCTCCTCTGTCTTTCCATTCTCCCCTCTCTCTATCTCCCTCTCTCTCCCTTTCTCACTTTCCTTTGTCTTTCCATTCCCCCCCTCTCTCTCTCTCTTCATATATAAGTAACAACTTCTATTACAACCGACAGATGGAGAACATTAAAAGCGTTGGATGGAGCAATTTTATATCGCCAAAACCACCTGTTTACATTACCATTGGCGCTCCTTATTAGGACAGTTGACATTTATCAGTGCCACCCACACAGTGCCGCTCACAACTCACCGATGCTCACAACCACTGCATGACATCCATAACATTGCAACAAGTTTTTCGACAAAATTTGCAGTCTCTCCAAAACTCTTTCATGTGTCACATAAGTATGGAGGATCCAGGTTGGCTTGCAATATCATTTGCCCAGGCCCGCAGGTCAACTTTGAAAAATGCTCTATACATATACGCACGCACACGCAAACACATACATGCATATATATATATATATATATATATATATATATATATATATATATATATATATATATATATATATATACTACCCCATTATTGATAATGAAATTATTTAAATGGGAATAACCGTTGATAATTGGGTACATGAAAACAATCACGAGTTTACTTAATGAACAAAAATCAAAAACAATCACGAGTTACTTAATGAACAAAAATCAAACGAATAGATGTCAACCTAACAAGCAATAAGATAAAAGTTTTAGTGGAATAAAAAAGATTACTAAATATAAAATGGATTACTCTTTCAATGTTCTGTCTATGAATTTTTCCAATCGACTCTTTCATAGAAAATACCCAAAACTCCACCGAATTTCAAATTAATTTCTTCGTAGATTGTTTTAACATTTAGATATTTATCAAACCTTAACCTCCCAAATATGCACGTTAAAGTAACGCGAACTGACAGCGTCTAAAAATTTGAATGAAACCTGTCGTGTAATTTATTTGGGTTGTTGTAACTACTTCCTTTAATCTCGTTCTTATCATTCACCCCTTAGCCATCTATATCTAGAGACGAGACGCGTTAAATTTGAGCAACATCCAGCCGACACACTGGGATTAAAAATAGGAAACTAAAATGATACATATGACACACTCATATCCTCTCTGCCACCTCACTTCCTCACTTCGTTAACTTTGCGTATACTTGATGAGGTCCGTCAAAAAACGTGAATTTCTTTTCATTTTCATTTCAGCTTTTTGAAGTAAAGTCTGATGATCCAGAACCCTGTTAAAGGGGTTATGGTGAAATAGCTTATTACATGGAATCTTAACGTGGTCTGTTTTTTATTCAAACAAATATATATATATATATATATATATATATATATATATATATATATATATATAAGAAATATAGTTTTTAAGATGTGCTATATTTATAGGATAAAGTGCTCAATATCAGAGATAGAGCGTGTGTAAATATAAAAGTGAACATAAAAGTCAACACTTACAGGCGACAGTCTCTACGTGTTGACTCGTGGCCTGACGATTGCATCTAGCATGAAACAGACTGTGGCCTCTAAGTGTTGACTTCTATGTTCACTTTTATTATATATATATATATATATATATATATATATATATATATATATATATATATAGTGATGATAATTAGCAAGTCAGTCGATGAATGAAACAATACCCGAAAAGATTTTTAAAGGTCAATGAAATATATTTTAGATAATGAATTTATTTTCATAGAGATTAAAACAAGTTACATTTTTTTAGAAGTTGCAAGCGAAGATGTAAAGTGCATCCCTTTAATCGGAATGTAAGTATCTTTATAAAAGCTTAAAAAGAGTATACGTAAGAAATTTAAAATGTTGTTTCATAGGCCCTTTATGCTGGGAGCTCAAAGGCGCCAATTCGATAATGATGTTGCATATTGCCATCAGTGAAAGTTCCCAGCTCGGCAATGAAAAACTCCGACATAGACAATTTTAACTTCTATTTTTATTAATGACGATATGTACTAACTATCCAGTGGGGTCGTTCCCCCTCACTGGGGAGCCGAATCAGACACGAAAGTGAACAAGTCTACCTTGCTTGGCGGTCAAGAAACAACTCCCAGGAAAAAACTATCTCTGTTTGTTACTTCCACGCTAGCTCAGCCAATCAAAATCGACTTTTTATTGTCTTGTATCTGATCCCACTTTCTCTAAAAAATAATTTTCTGTTAAACGATTATTTAAAAATATTTCATTTGTATTCTTCTTGAATTTAAACGTTGGCATTATTCCTTTAAATGTCATTTTCCTTCAGATCACAGCTCTCACCAAATCCATTTTGTTTACGTTTTTGTATTTTCTTAATCTGTGTATTGCTTTCATTTACAGGAAAAGATAGTCTATTTGTTTCCCGTTGTCTTCCCCACGATCTTTAATACAGAGTTGCCCTTCTACAACACAGACTGCCACCTAAGGCTAGAAAACATAGTTTAACCCGCTATTTAGAAGAGATATGGATTCAAGCCTTCGATCAAAACAGACAGACGTTTCATCGATTTTCATGCGATCTATGAGCTCACATTGTCATATAAACTGTAAACAAATTTTCAAACCCAAATATTTTCGGTTATATCTCGTGAACAAAAAAAGATTTCTTTAACTGAACTTTCTCCTGTATTTCTTCTCATAAATGGCACAAAGTTATGGCGATAAAATTAAACATTACAAAAGTTTTTAAATTTTTGTAATTACGGAAATATTTCCAACACTATCTGTCTATATATCTGAGATGAGGTATTATGTACATTATTTTCATTGTACGGACTATTGTCTACATCTTTGCCGCCATATTTATTACAACGTTTCGGCCTTTCAGTATATGTCTATATTTCTGAGATGAGGTATTATGTACATTATTTACATTGTTCGGACTATTGTCCTCATCTTTGCCGCCATATTTATTACAACGTTTCGGCCTTTCAGTATATGTCTATATTTCTGAGATGAGGTATTATGTACATTATTTACATTGTTCGGACTATTGTCCTCATCTTTGCCGCCATATTTATTACAACGTTTCGGCCTTTCAGTATATGTCTATATTTCTGAGATGAGGTATTATGTACATTATTTAAATTGTTCTGACTATTGTCCTCATCTTTGCCGCCATATTTATTACAACGTTTCGGCCTTTCAGTATATGTCTATATTTCTGAGATGAGGCATTATTTACATTATTCGGATTATTGTTCTTATCTTTGTCGCCATATTTATTACAACGTTTCGGCCGTTATACGCTCCGGTCTTCTTCAGGTGGTTGGAATGTCAAACTGAACCCTTTATTTCGAATAATGTACATAATACCTCATCTCAGAAATATAGACGTATACTGAAAGGCTAAACGTTGTAATAAATCATCTAGTCCGAATAATGTAAATAATGTAATATAATACCTCATCTCAGAAATATAGACAGATACTGAAAGGCCGAAACGTTGTAAAAAATAGGGCGACAAGGATGAGGACAATAGTCTGAATAATGTAAATAATGTACATAATACCTCATCTCAGAAATATAGACATATACTGAAAGGCCGAAACGTTGTAATAAATATGGCGACAAAGATCAGGACAAGAGTCCGAATAATGTAAATAATGTAATTTCCAACACTGTCGTAACTCGATGTTCAAGTACATCTAAAAACTGTGATATCAGATGATGAATGTTTCAGGCAGATTCTCCTCAAGTTGTAAGATAAACGTTCTAAAGTCTATTGTCTTGGATTATCACTTGATTATCGCTTAATCTTAGTAAATTTTGAGAAACCTACATATTTAGTTCTCGGTATGCAGCTGTTGTGTAATACCAGAAAAGGCTAAACATCAATTGCAAGACGACAAAATGCATTCTTGCTAGCAAAATGGACAGCCCAACATGCAATTTACAAATTGGAGATGCAAAAATCAGACAAGTACAACAATTTAAAAATCTGGGAAGTGTTGTTTTAACATAGGACGGAAAGTCGGACACTGAAATCCGAAGCCACGTTGGGACAATGAAAAGTTCCTTCCAATCTATGTGCAACGTATCAATAAACATAAAAAAGAATCGTTGAAAGTAGTACTGAACTATTACATAATACCTCTCCTCCTATATGTCAGTTACTTAGTTCTACAGGAGGATGCTGAGAATGCCATAGATGGAACATATGAGCAACGATGAAGTCTTAGAGAAAATGTAAACAAAACGGATACTTATATTTAACATCAGAAAGTAGAAGTTGTAATTTCTATGGCGCATAATGAGGAAGAGGGCTTGGTAAATTTAATACTCACAGGACAGTTTGAATGCAAGTGAGTTAGGAGAAAGTAGTTTATAACCTATCTATTTTGTGTAAATGGATGGTTGGACTAGGTTTAGGAGAGATAACAAAAGGACGTTTACTAAGAGCTACAAAGGAGGAGAAATTGTGGAGAGCCATGATCGCCAACGTCCTTAAGTGACACGTACAGAGAATAAGAGGAAGATGTGACTGACTATCGACTCAAACATACAGATATATCGTCGAAAGCGTATGCGAAGAGCAGAAATAGATTATCTATACCTCTTCAATCCCTGGTAAACGCCACTCCATCTATCAGTTGAGGCGTTTGTGTCAAAACTCTGCAATCTCCTTTCGCTTCCAAATTCTGTAAAAACCGCGATCGTTGCCAAAAACCAGATTAAGTTGACAACAAGCCGACTCTTGGCAACCGCAACAAAGTGCTTTGTCGTCATAACTTTGAGGGGAAGGCAAAACGTGTCAAACGTTTCTCGCCCAGTCGGCGCGGCAGAAATAAATTTAGACAATTTGCTGGCCAAACATTCATTGTTGCTGCGTTGTTCGTCGTTTAAGTATGTTGGGTATTTGTCAATTTGTCCAGCAAGGACTCTTTATCAGGTAACACGGAGGACAGAAAGACTGTCAGATCCTTGTCTGGGGAGTCAAGGAGAAGGGTTAGAAATTAAAGATAATAAATACAGAGAAGGGGGAAAGTTTTACCATAAGAAGACAAAGAAACAACAACGTTGACGAAGAAGAAGAAGAAGAAGAAGAAGAAGAAGAAGAAGAAGAAGAAGAAGAAGAAATAACAATTTTGACGAAGAAGAAGAAACAATGTTATTGGAGAAGAAAAAGAAGAAAAAGGAACACCTTTGACGAAGAAGAAGAAGAAGAAGAAGAAGAAGAAACAACGTTATTGGGGAAGAAAAAGAAGAAAAAGGAACAACTTTGACGAAGAAGAAGAAGAAGAAGAAGAAGAAGAAGAAGAAGAAGAAACAACGTTATTGGGGAAGAAAAAGAAGAAAAAGGAACAACTTTGACGAAGAAGAAGAAGAAGGAGAAGAAGAAGAAGAAGAAGAAACAACGTTATTGGAGAAGAAAAAGAAGAAAAAGGAACAACTTTGACGAAGAAGAAGAAGAAGGAGAAGAAGAAGAAGAAGAAGAAGAAGAAACAATATTATTGGAGAAGAAAAAGAAGAAAAAGGAACAACTTTGACGAAGAAGAAGAAGAAGAAGAAGAAGAAGAAGAAGAAGAAACAATGTTATTGGAGAAGAAAAAGAAGAAAAAGGAACAACTTTGACGAAGAAGAAGAAGAAGAAGAAACAACGTTATTGGGGAAGAAAAAGAAGAAAAAGGAACAACTTTGACGAAGAAGAAGAAGAAGAAGAAGAAGAAGAAGAAGAAGAAACAACAACTTTGACGAAGAAGAAGAAACAACGTTATTAAAGAAGAAAAAGAAGGAAAAAGAACAACAACATTGACGAAGAAGAAGAAGAAGAAGAAACAACGTTATTGGACAAAATGAAAAAACAACAACGTTGACGAAGAAAAAAGAAGAAAGAAGAAACAATAAAGTTGACGAAGAAGGAAAAGTAGAAGGCGAAGAAACAACAACGCCGAAGAAGAAGAAGAAGAAGAAGAAGAAGAAGAAGAGCAACAACAACAACGTTCTCGAAGGAGAAGACGAAGAAGCAAAAACTTGGACGAAAAAGAAAAGACAACATCGCTGACGACGACGACGAAAAAGAAGAGGAAGAAGAAACAACAACGTTGTCGACGACGACGACGACGACGACGACGACGAAGAAGAAGAAGAAGAAGAAGAAGAAGAAGAAGAAGAAGAAGAAGAAGAAACAACAACGTTATTGGAGAAGAAAAAGAAGAAAAAGGAACAACTTTGACGAAGAAGAAGAAGAAAAAGAAGAAAAAGAAGAAGAAGAAGAAGAAATAAATAATGGTCTGCCGTTGCTTTCTTTCAAAATTTGTTACTTACATACATAAAAACATACATAAAATGTTCACATATTAGAGCGTACATATATAACATATAAGTACACATCTTATATATGCATTTTTTATCTTTATGTATATACATTAATATGTTTGTGTATACCCCTTCCATGCAATATCTCTACAAAAGAAAAAGACAGGCGAGTGAAAATATATATGGTGGAAAGGAGCGGGAAACGAGTTTTGCTTAGTTTTAAAATGGGTGTGATAAAACGGTGAGAGGAATAGGAAGAGTTGATGAAGAGAACCAATGGTGATGAGTGACGTTTCTCAACGCGTGCCCTGACTCCATTTGCGCATGCCCAAGACAACATGAAGTTAATGCCTGTTCGGCCAGCGAAAATGTTCGCCAGCAAATTGACTCTGCAATTGTACGTGACTAATTTGAATTTCAAATTTCATTTGTGCCTCGGCGTCATCTGACCTGCCCGATGTAGAACTGATTACTTCGCCCATCTTAGATAGCAACACAAGTACTTTCTAATGGTCGCCGTTTTCCTCTACAGATGTTTTCCATGCAAAGTGGGCACTAATGAAATTTAATGGTCAACGTAACGGGACCTCTTTCGGCGTCAACGTGGCAAGCGAACGCTTTTAATCAGACTCCGCAGACTTATCCATTGGAAGGCGTCTCTTAATTGGTAGACACACACATATTGTTCCATTTTGGCGGGCGGAGGAAAGAAAGAGAAATGGCGGTCGAAATTCGAGGGATGACATTTCGTCGGCCTCGGCTTGTCAATGATGGAACAAAGAGAAGCGTCTTCAGTTACTTTCTTCTATTCATTTATATATTTATTTTCAATGCTCTTTACTCCGACTTTCGTTTATCTACACAACCACAAAAGCTTCATGTGTTTCATCTTTAAGTCTCACAAACTTTCTCTTTCTCTGTGTCACTCTTCCAACTCTCTAACGATCTTAGTCTCTCTATATATATATCTTTCTTTTTATCTTTCTCTATCTACCTCTTCTCACTCTTTCTCCCCCCCCTCTCTCTCTCTGTACTTCTACCTCCTTTTGCATTTTTCTTCTTCTGTCTATATCGGATTCTTTTTCTCTGTGTATCTCTTACTCTTTCTTTATCACTTTTTATCTCTCTCCCTTTCTCTTCTTTTCTTCGTCTTTTTCTCTGCATCTCTTCATTTTTCTTCGCCTGTCGATTGCTTTCACTCTTTGTCTCTCTTGCTTTCTCACTTTTTATCTGTCTCTCTCTCTCTCTAATTATCCTTCTTGCATATCACTCTCTCTATGTCTATCGCTTTACCTTCTTCTCTCTTTAATTCTTTTTGTCTGTCTGTCTCTCTCTCTCTTTCTCTCATCATATCCAGTGCCAACTCTAGGTCATAAATATTTGTCGGGCTCATTAGAATCTTTAACAAAATATACTATTGGTATTACTTAGATGCTAAGATGATTCCTTTAACTGCATCTAAAATATATAATTTTTAAGAATCTCTGTGCATGAAATAAAAAAAAAAACACATTTTAGTATTTTAATATTAATTGTAATATTCTATAAAAAAAATAAACATGTATTTAAAAAAGAATTTTCCAGATATGTAAGAAAAAATAACGTGTGTATCTCTCACAAGTGTATGTTTGTATATATGCATATGCGTTAGTGTGTTTATGTATCGCTTTGTCTGTGAAATTTTAGTTTGATTTATTGTACATTTATGATCACTATTGCTGGCTGATATCATGTTTCCTCACAATCCCCAGTCACACTCCTCACTCCAACCCTTCAATCGACAAGTTAAGGCTGCCACATTCTTTGATTTTCGCGGACTGTAAGTCGGACTAAATTTCATTAGCCCAACTTTTCAATTGATACATTCCACTAAAAAAAACTTATACTGTACAGAATAAATTATTTAAAATGGACATTTGAAAACAAGTTGAAATAAAAATGTGTTCTTTGAAAAACCGGGCATACAAGTCATTAGAAATTTTTAAAAAGATTACTTATAAAATGAAAGGAAGAAATACATTGCCTATCATGTCTTCAGTTTGAAAAGGCTATTTATCTACGCAGTCCGACCAAGCCACGTTAATTTTATTTCATTCTTTTTTTCTTACTCCTTTTTTTTCTTTGTTTTAGCTCTCTTTTTTTTCTGCCTTATTATCAACAATATCAACGAAATGTATTTCGGTCAATATTTTGAGACACGGATTTAAAACAATTAATTTTGGATCCAGCTGAAGTCAAGAATGAAAACGACGCACTACGTACAAATTTTGCTGTTTTGAAATAGATATACTTGAATGTTGATTCACTCGGGCTAAGCCAGACAAGCCCGACCCCCGGAATCGCCACTGATATCTACCTATCTACCTATCGACTGTTATCTATATGGTCGTAAATACTGGAACAAAAAAAAGGATAAAACACAAACTTTGAACAGTTTATGCACAATTTTGATTTGGATGTACACCATTTTCACTCTTTCGCTCTCTCTCTCTCTCTCTCTCTCTGTCTATCTATCTATCCATCTTTTATCGTTCCCTTCCACTTGATCTCTTTCCTACCTTCTCTCTGTAATTCTGTTTCTATCTATCTATCTATCTATCTATCTATCTATCTATCAGGCTGTAGATTGATATCTATGTGGTCGAAAATACTTGAACAAACAGGACAAAGCATGAAATTTGGCCATTTTATCCGTAGTTTTGATTTGGATATAAGCCTCTTCCTCTCTTTGTCTCTTTTTATCTATCTTTCTCTATATACATCTTTTATCTCTCCCTCTCTATATATCTATCTATTTCTCTTCTTCTCTGTATACTTCGTTTTTTTTTTCCTTTTCTTTCTCATCATATCTATCTATCTATCTCAGTCTGGCCATATCTATCTATCTATCTATCTATCTATCTATCTATCTATCTATCTATCTCAGTCTGGCCATATCTATCTATCTATCTATCTATCTATCTATCTAATGTATGTATGTCTGTCGATTGATATCTGTATAATCGAAAATACTTAGCATGAGAGGTCAAATCATGAAATTTGGCAGTTTATCCTCAATTTTGATTCGGATATACATGTTATAGAAATAGAAATAGAAAAATACAGAATTTACATTATTCAGACTATTGTCCTCATCTTTGTTGCCATATTGATCACGTTTCGGCCGTTGTACGCTCCGGCCTTCTTCAGATGGTTGGAATGTCGAACTGAAATATAGACAGATAAGGAAAATACAGATGTAGATATCCCGTAGACAAGCTCGTTAACCATTATCTCACAGAGCTGTGATCTGTTTGATTGTTATTAAAACTCTTAATCCTTTGATAAATCCAGAAGCAAAATTTGTGTGGTAACTTCACTAATACAGCTACTAATACTCAGTCAGTTCATGTATTCGCTTATAGCACTCGTTTCTAAACGTTTTCATTATCATTTTTTTTTTCATTTTTATATTTATTTGAATTTCTGGGCGTCATTCTTATTTACACTATTTATATTCGGGATATTGTCCGCATTTTTGTTGTTATTATCACAACGTTTCAGCAGTTGTACCCTTCGGCCTTCTCCTGGTGTAACCTGAACTAAATACTTCATATCTTTTACCGGGTGGTAGACTGTTCTCGTTCCACTGCTCATGTCTAGGGATATCGTAGAGTTCTTATTTTATTTAGTACTGTTCATTCATTGGTCGTCCGTTCCCACTGAGTGCAAGTACACACTGCCCGATTAAGGGATTGAACTCACAAACACTGTCACTAAATTCACAAACCAAAGTTGTTTATCCACTATGCCAACAACAAAGAAGAAGAAAATAGTCCGAATTTAAATAGTGTAAATACAGGACATAATATTCATTAGTTTCAGAATGATGTTCTTTAAAATAAAGAGTTCCCTCTCTTACATGTACATAAAGCAAGGAAAAGTCAGAAGATTCTTATCTCTTTAAAACCTGTGACAGGCAAGAAATATTGATCCCTGGATAGAAGACGGAAATAAAGACCAAGACAGTAAATCGTCAAATGACAAAAATGGTTTCGGAGTTGGAGGATTCGCGCATCCTTCTGGTTAATAGATTAATCTTTTGAAAATAAATATTTAAATTTTCTCAACTAGTGCCGACACTAAAAACTATGTGATCCCTTTGAAGAGTATAGAAACAAAGCCTCTAGACCAGACAAGCCAGTAAGGAAGGGCCACAGACTGCAACAGTGCACGACTGCCGGCTTCAAAGACATTCCCTTACTCATTCAGCCGTCTTCCTCACCAAGATTCGTGACACTTAAACTCTTCCTGACCAATCTACGTTACATTTACGCTCTTCCACACCAAACTACGTGACACGTACACTCTTCCTCGCCAATCTATATGATATTTACACTTTCCCTCACCAAGCTACGTGACACTTACACTTTCACTTTCCTCCTCACTTTCTCCCTTGACACTTTTTCACACATACACGCGAAGAAATCACATTTCTTTTCATCTTAACAAAAATACAAACAATGAACTTATATAACACTCATATACTTTGAGAAAAATTTAGTTGCAAAACACGAATTTGTTTTTTTTTAATATTTATATATTTACAAACGTTTCTCGCCTTTTTCTTTCTTGTGGGTTGATCTAAATCCGCTGCAAATCTATGAAGAGAGTGGAAATAATGAATTTTGATGCATTTTTTTCTTTCCATGTTGAGAATATAGTTAAATTCCCAGATCAATTCAGTGGAGAAGGCAAAAACATTTCGATTCCATTTTTGTCTTGAAAAAGTCGGAAGACGAAACGCGTCAGCAAAAAAGTAAGACTTTTTTTCCAATTGTCATCTGAAACCAATTTGTCTTGTCCACAGAATTGATCTGGCAATTTAACTATATTCTCGACATGGAAAGAAAAAAAACCTTAGTAGAAAGAAAATTTACATTAACCAGAAAGAGACTTACGCACAATGCGTCTCTCGTTTTTAAAATTATTATTTTGTAATGTAACTATAACAATAAAAACATTTCTTTTTCATTTTTACCTTGAAAAAGTCAGAAGACGAAACGCGTCGGCAAAAAAACAGATTTTTTCCATATATATATATATATATATATATATATATATATAATCAAAAAGAAAACCTTATATCTAAATTTACTAAAAGATTTCGGTCTGAAGAGATGAATATATAGATATTCACGAAATAAGTTATAACCGAAATTAATCGTTAAGTTTTTCTTCTTGATAATTATTATTATTATTATTATTATTATTATTATTATTATTATTATTCTCTGTAGTTTACACTGAGCTCTCCCCGGATAAATATCATCCTCTTTGGAATTATCCGTACCAATCACAAATTTATAATATATATATATATATATATATATATATATATATATATATATATATATATATTTTATTACTATTTTTCAAAAATATGATTCCTTCGCCATATAAGAGTTCTCATGCTTTAAATTATAATTTAGTGTCTACTTTTGTATTGTGCACTGTTTTTTTTTTTTTATAAAACAAAAATACTAAAGAACTTCGGATTATTTACCTAACGTGTTCTTTCCTATTTTCTACATATTTGAACACACACACACACACACACACACACACACACACACACACACACACACACACACATATATATATATATATATATATATATATATATATATATATATATAATAGGAATAATTTCATTACGAATCCCGTCAGCGCATATTTTTCTTTGATAAGATTTCTTAAATTTTTCAGGCTGGTAGACGAAAATAAATAAATATATTGTTTAATAAATAAGAAGAACATCTACTCAAATATGGCTATTCACTAGAATTAACTTAAATAAAAATTCATCACTTCTTTTGAAATTGCTTTGTTTAAGTTAGGATACGAAACTGGGAAGATATATATATATATATATATATATTTCGAGAGTTAAAGAAAAATTGTGTGTTCAAGATACTATTCAATTTCGTTTGACAATCAACGCCCTTTGTAGCCGAGAGATCTAACGACGATTTCCAATGGACTCACGTTCGCATATTTTTCTTTAAGATTTCTTGAATATTCAAGCCGGTAGACGAAAATAAATATTCTACTGAACGGTGCTTTTATTCAAATATTTAGAACCACTAAAAATACCGTTCAAGTAATAAAATATATGATAGGATAAATAATAAGTCGGAAGCTTTTATCAATCGAACATGTTTCATTTTTATTAAAGCTTCATCAGAGAATGAAATCTGGAAAAAAAGAATAATTCTGACATTTTTTTTATTTTGGGGTTTATTGATTTTCATTGGTTATTGAAGTTTCACTTGTTAAACAATGTTACTATAATTTATGGCTTTCCGACTTGCAGGAGAGACGACGCGCGCTTTCGAAGCTCCAAGAAATTAATGGATTCCAAGTCTAGCTGAAAAACCGTAAATATTACTTTATCTATGTAATTGTATAATAATTCTAGTTTGTCTATTTGGAATTCAGATGAGAGTGTATATTCTCCATATCTCATTCTCTGATAGTATTTCATAATTATCTTCATCATTTTCGATCATTATTGACGCTTTTATTGATTTTTCTTTAATCTTTTTCATTCACGTTTTAATTTATTTCTTTTTAATGTTTTTTTCTTTTTATTCAGTATTGATCTTTTCTTCTTCCTATGAGTCGGTTCTTCTTCCTGAATTTTTCTTCATTTGCTTTTCTTCATCACCGAATATATATTAAGTTATCTTTTTATTTACACATTTCTTATCTAGCGGCATTTTCTTTACTATTTCTTCCCAGTTGTCGCCATTTCTCCCTCAAGCGGCAATTAATTCAATCACTTTCCTTGGCTAACTTTGCATTATCTACAAATTACTAGGCCTTGTATACTTAATAATATATCGGATAAAAGGTAGCATCGACCACACACCTGCCGTTGCATCTAAGTAAATAGCTCTGGAATATACCGAGCCGAAGCAGAACAGGTGGAAAAATAAGTAGCTAAATTGTATTAGCGATATTACCAAAAACAACCAATAGACGTAATTCTTGTTTGATTAACGAATATTTCAATAATACTTTTATACGTGCAGATAGCTTTATAAGAACACAAACAGATATCTTCATTTTTAAAAATAATCTTCTTTATTATAACGATATTCCCATAGCCTGATTATTTATATAGAGCTCTACAGATAGTTACAATATATCAAACAATATATATATATATATATATATATATATATATATATATATATAGATAGATAGATAGATAGATAGATAGATCATCATCCTGCGGCCTCAACCGAGATTGAACTCACTACACCTCTCCAGTATTCCCTATCCGTCATAGCTCCTAAAAGATCTTCCTTAGGGTTCAATGTGTCTCGTTTTATCCTATCTGGAAAGGTTAACTTGCGTGATCGATTGTCAGATGATGGGTGCCTCCAGAGTACAAATGATGACACAAGTTCATCTGTGGCACGTGCACAATGCCCGGCGAACTGGACACGTCTCTTGCAAACTAAGGTTGATACTCTCGGCAAGTCTCCATATATCATTTCTAGAGTTGGACGGTTTCGCCATGAAAGATTAAGCACTCTTCTTAAAAGACGTGTATAACATCCATCTAAACGGCGCTGTTGTTTTTCTAAGAGAGTCCAAGTTTCAGATAGATAGATAGATGTAAATTAAAAGTTAGAGGAAAACAAACAATATGTATATGCATATAAATATAACTGGACAGACAGATAGATAGATAGATAGATAGATAGATAGATAGATAGGTAGATAGATAGATAGATAGATAGAACAGACAATGATCAACACATGCACGCACATATATATGAGCAGAACGATATAAATAAAAACAAATTAAGATAGCTATGTAGATTGATAGATATGAAAAGACTCTAGGTGGAGTAATGGATTGCGTCTCGGATTGAGGAATCGGAGAGCCGAATTCGAATTCCAGTCGAATTTATTGCATTCACATACGTGCTAATACTCTTGGGGAATCCTCTTCTCCCCCCA